CCCTCAAGGCTCTGTGCTTGCCCCCCTCCTATATATACTATTCACCAACGACATCCCTATCCCGTCGAACGGTGTTAAACTAGCCCTCTTCGCAGATGACACAGCCCTTTACTCTAAAGGCAACTCACTGCCACATATTCGGAACAAAATCCAAAAGTCAGTTAACGACTTAGGAGCTTGGTTCAAAAAATGGCGTATCGACGTAAACCCGGAGAAGAGTTCCGCCGTTTGCTTCGAATATAAACGAAGCCGTCTCACCACCACTCCGCCGATCAGGATGTTAGGAACCCCTGTCCCATGACAAACAAAAGCCAAATATTTAGGCGTCGCGCTTGATGCAATGCTCACTTTTGAGCCCCATATCAAGAAGGTAACTCGCATCGCACGATTTTACATGGGTAGGCTCAACAGCATGTTGGGCAGACAAAGTAAAACGTCCCTCCGCAACAAGCGAACCCTATATAAGGTCTGCGAAAATGGGGGCCACGTAGGTCATGACAGGTATACGACCTGTCACGACCTACGACCTACCTACGTGGCCCCCATTTTCGCACATGCTATTAATTCAATAGAGATTACACAATTTTTTATTAACTAACCAATGCGTCCTGCGTCCGTGCGTGTGTGCATAACTGTGTGCGTTCGTGAGTGCGTGCGTGAGAACGTGCGTGAAAGCGTGCGTGCGTGTATGCGCGCACGAGCCTGCGCATCGTGTTTATGTATGTGGGTGTGTGTTTATGTCCTATTTTTGTTTAAAACATTGCGTTTGATGTAGCTCTTGGATAGGTTGAAAATATCCAAGTCAGCGTATATTTAAACAGTTTTCAACATTACTATAATATAATTTTTAGTTTTTTTCATTATTGGTAGTTATTCTATTTCTATGTAATAAGTTTCTAAGTTTTTAAATCGCTTTTAATTAGGACACGGTCATTAAGTGATTGTATATCTACAAAAAAAAAAAAATTTGTCATCTGCAAACAATAAATAGTGTGAATGATAGAATCAGTATCTATTGTCAAATTTATAGGCGTAATTGAGCAAAGCTCCGATCATTGAGCCTTGTGGGACACCAGATGTTATTGAAACCAAATCACAACAAGCACTTCCTACTTACATTGCATGTCTTCTGTTACTTATGTAGGTTACCCATCGGTGAAAATCACCATGTAAAATTTCCGTAAAAGGAAGGCATGTTCAACATGGTCAAATGCATTTTCAAAATCCGTGTATAACTATATATATATATATATATATTATTCATAAAACCAGTTGGTATTGATTTTTAAGTTTTTTAAAAAAAGCACCAGGCGCGGATGGCATCTCCAACCAAGCCCTCAAACACTTCGGGACCATGTGATCGCCTTATTGGCCATAATCTTCAACGCCTGCTTCAAATTCAGCTACTTTCCCACCTCTAGGAAAGAGGAAACTGTCATTGTTATTCCCAAGCCAGGCAAACCTCACCACCTCCCCTCCAATCACCGTCCCATCAGCCTCCTGAAGGCCATGGGTAAACTTTTCGAACGAGTTATTCTCGTGTGCATGAGGCGCCATTTGTTTCCCACAGACGACGACCCTCTTGTCACCCTCAACAATTCGGGTTTCGAACCAAACACTCGTGCCCCCAGCAAGTTCACCGCATAGTGGAATATATCCTCAGCGGTTTTTATCCTCGTCGTCAAAAAACCATCGCGGTCTTTTTCGACATTGCCAAGGTATTCGGCAGAGTCTGGCACGAGGGCCTTATCTACAAATTGTACGACTTAGGCCTCCCTGACCGTCTCATCCGCCTTGTAGCGTCCTATCTGAAGGATCGTACCTTTCGCTTTAGACACGAAGGCGCGCTGTCCTCTACTCGTCAAATCAAAGCCGGTGTCCCTCAAGGCTCTGTGCTTGCCCCCCCTCCTATATATACTATTCACCAACGACATCCCTATCCCGTCGAACGGTGTTAAACTAGCCCTCTTCGCAGATGACACAGCCCTTTACTCTAAAGGCAACTCACTGCCACATATTCGGAACAAAATCCAAAAGTCAGTTAACGACTTAGGAGCTTGGTTCAAAAAATGGCGTATCGACGTAAACCCGGAGAAGAGTTCCGCCGTTTGCTTCGAATATAAACGAAGCCGTCTCACCACCACTCCGCCGATCAGGATGTTAGGAACCCCTGTCCCATGACAAACAAAAGCCAAATATTTAGGCGTCGCGCTTGATGCAATGCTCACTTTTGAGCCCCATATCAAGAAGGTAACTCGCATCGCACGATTTTACATGGGTAGGCTCAACAGCATGTTGGGCAGACAAAGTAAAACGTCCCTCCGCAACAAGCGAACCCTATATAAGGTCTGCGAAAATGGGGGCCACGTAGGTCATGACAGGTATACGACCTGTCACGACCTACGACCTACCTACGTGGCCCCCATTTTCGCACATGCTATTAATTCAATAGAGATTACACAATTTTTTATTAACTAACCAATGCGTCCTGCGTCCGTGCGTGTGTGCATAACTGTGTGCGTTCGTGAGTGCGTGCGTGAGAACGTGCGTGAAAGCGTGCGTGCGTGTATGCGCGCACGAGCCTGCGCATCGTGTTTATGTATGTGGGTGTGTGTTTATGTCCTATTTTTGTTTAAAACATTGCGTTTGATGTAGCTCTTGGATAGGTTGAAAATATCCAAGTCAGCGTATATTTAAACAGTTTTCAACATTACTATAATATAATTTTTAGTTTTTTTCATTATTGGTAGTTATTCTATTTCTATGTAATAAGTTTCTAAGTTTTTAAATCACTTTTAATTAGGACACGGTCATCAATTGATTGTATTTTTACAAAAAAAAAATTTGTCATTTGCAAACACTAAATAGTGTGAATGATAGAATCCGTAACTATTGTCAAATAAATAGGCGTTATAGAGGAAAGGTCCGATCATTGAGCCTTGTGGGATACCTTTGTGGCATACGACCTGTCATGACCTACGTGGCTCCCATTTTCGCACATGCTAAGCCCAAAGTTATAAATGAACTTCAAATAGTTCAAAATCTATTCTGTCGTAGGGTCACTAACTCGCCCTACTATGTCCGTAATGCCGACCTTCACCGAGACTTAGAGCTCCCAACAATCCAGCAGTTCCTTAAATCACTCTCTGAGAGATTTTTCAAAGCCTCAGAGTCCCACCCAAATCATCTCATTCGTGAGACAGCTGCCTATGCAGCCCCTATCCACACTCCCTATAGTGTGCGCAGACCGAGAAACTCTCTCTCGGACCCCCCCCCCCAACAAGCTTTTGGCTGACCTGAACTGCCTCCTGGCGGCTCAGGCTAAGCCTACATAACCTAATATATATATATATATAATGGGCTTAAACAGCAAAATTTGTTACAGTTGATCTTTTATTCATAAAACCAGTTGGTATTGATTTTTAAGTTAATGAGAATTATATGTATAAAAATAAGTTTCTCAGAAACTTTTTAAAATGTGTTTAGTATGGAGATTGGACGGTAGTGAGCAATTCTATTTTTTGTGTATAGGTATTATAAAATATTAAAAATAAAAATATAAATTTCTTTGCAACTTTCCGCTAAACATATAAAATGATGTGTCTTACCTGGATTGAAGCGCACCTCCCGCCCTCCCTCAATTGCATACACTAACTCCGTCACCACTAGACCAAGCACCACTACTCTCAACACCACTATTCCAGGCAAGACACACCATCGACGATAATACGACACGTGTTTCGCCTCTACACGAGGCATCCTCAGGTAATATAGACTCTACGGCGGCTGACCGCTAAGTCATTATAAAATATTATTTCCACTTACACGGAAATGTTCTTATGTATTAACAGAATTACCGAAAATTACTGAGAGAGGCTTGCTTAGCCAGGTTTTTTTTTGCGCATTTATGTATAAATAGGAGAGATATGCAATCGCAAGCCATCCCTCTTTTAGTTTAAGTTTATTTTATATATAAAAACATTTTTAGTACTAAAGTAAGTATTATTTATGAAATATTTCCTTTGATTTGCCGTTTAGAATATAAGAATATTCGTAAGAAGTTGAAGCTTTAAAAAATTTTATTAAATCCCGCACATACGTTCGTTTCATTTGTGTTTGTTCATTTCCAAATAGTAAGGTATTAGGGTATGTAATGTTGCTATTATGTAGAGATTTGAAATAATACCATAATATTTAAGGTTCGAGAAAAATAAATAAAAACAACTACAAAATATCCGTTAATTACGTGAGGTAATTTTGGCGACTGTCTTACCTTATCACTCTCCTAGTGAGATGTTATAAAATACAGCTCGACCCCCTCACACTCCCCTTAAATCTCACGAGAGATTTTTCAAAATGCGTATTTTTAGTCCTAATACGTTTAATTTATGATTGATTGCGTTGAGTTTATTTATAAAGAACATAATTTGCCTAATTAATTCTGTATGATAAGTAGAGTTTACGTAATTGCGATAAATATTATTGTATTAAACTTGGTAAGTATTACCTCGCACATATCCGCTCAATTAAATGAAATGATGTGTCTTAACTTATTTGAAGAGCACCTCACGCCCTCCCTCAATTGCGTGCACTAATCCCAGCACCACTACTCCCAACACCACTACACTAGTTAAGACACACCATTGACGATAGTACAACACGTGCTTCGCCTCTACACGAGGCATCATCCTGTCATGGTGACTCTACTGTGGCTGACCGCTAAGTGAGAGTCGAGTTTTTTTTTTGCGCCCGAAGCAAATATGGGCAACCCTCCGGAAAGCAGGGGAGGGAGGCGGTGAATGCTCATAGCATACCACGCAGCCGGCAGCGTGGTTATGTGGAGACTTTTACCCACTAAACACAGCATATGCATTGGCTTACCGATCTGACGAGAGATTTCTAAGCCGTATACGACCGCGACCCTCCTTGGCAGAAAGAAGGGCGCAGGCGGCGAAAAGCCGTTTAGAAGTGTGCTTAACTAAGGCAAATTAAGGGATGTGTTATGTTGGCTTAGCCTGAGCCGCCAGGAGGCAGTTCAGGTCAGCCAAAAGCTTGTTGGGTGGGTCCGAGAGAGAGTTTCTCGGTCTGCGCACACTATAGGGAGTGTGGATAGGGGCTGCATAGTCATCTGTCTCACGAATGAGATCATTTGGGTGGGACTCTGAGGCTTTGAAAAATCTCTCAGAGAGTGACTTAAGGAACTGCTGGATTGTTGGGAGCTCTAAGTCTCGGTGAAGGTCGGCATTACGGACATAATAGGGCGAGTTAGTGACCCTACGACAGAATAGATATTGAACTATTTGAAGTTCATTTATAACTTTGGGCTTAGCATGTGCGAAAATGGGAGCCACGTAGGTCATGATAGGTCGTATGCAGACCTTATATAGGGTTCGCTTGTTGTGGAGGGACGTTTTACTTTGTCTGTCCAACATGCTGTTGAGCCTACCCATGTAAAATCGTGCGGTGCGAGTTACCTTCTTGATATGGAGCTCAAAAGTGAGCATTGCATCAAGCGCGACGCCTAAATATTTGGCTTTTGTTTGCCATGGGACAGGGGTTCCTAACATCCTGATCGGCGGAGTGGTGGTGAGACGGCTTCGTTTATATTCGAAGCAAACGGCGGAGCTTTTCTCAGGGTTTACGTCGATACGCCATTTTTTGAACCAAGCTCCTAAGTAGTTAACTGACTTTTGGATCTTGTTCCGAATATGTGGCAGTGAGTTGCCTTTAGAGTAAAGGGCTGTGTCATCTGCGAAGAGGGCTAGTTTAACACCGTTCTACGGGATAGGGATGTCGTTGGTGAATAGTATATATAGGAGGGGAGCAAGCACAGAGCCTTGAGGGACACCGGCTTTGATTTGACGAGTAGAGGATAGCGCGCCTTCGTGTCTAAAGCGAAAGGTACGATCCTTCAGATAGGACGCTACAAGGCAGATGAGACGGTCAGGGAGGCCTAAGTCGTACAATTTGTAGATAAGGCCCTCGTGCCAGACTCTGTCGAATACCTTGGCAATGTCGAAAAAGACCGCGATGGTTTTTTGACGACGAGGATAAAAACCGCTGAGGATATATTCCACTATGCGGTGAACTTGCTGGGGGGCACGAGTGTTTGGTTCGAAACCTGAATTGTTGAGGGTGACAAGAGGGTTGTCGTCTGTGGGAAACAAATGGCGCCTCATGCACACGAGAATAACTCGTTCGAAAAGTTTACCCATGGCCTTGAGGAGGCTGATGGGACGGTGATTGGAGGGGGAGGTGGTGAGGTTTGCCTGGCTTGGGAATGACAATGACAGTTTCCTCTTTCCTAGAGTTGGGAAAGTAGCTGAATTTGAAGCAGGCGTTGAAGATTATGGCCAATAAGGCGATCACATGGTCCCGAAGTGTTTGAGGGCTTGGTTGGAGATGCCATCCGCGCCTGGTGCTTTTTTTGGGCTTAAGTCCTTTGATGGTAGATGAAATCACATCTTTGGACACAGTGATAGGGGCGACGGACCTCGTCCTCCACTAGTTTGATGTGTAGGGGGTCAGTGGGTTGTGAGCTGGGAGAGCATAGAGCGGCGACGCTGTCGGCGAAGCACTCAGCCTTTTCTTCGTCCTCGAAGTCAATAGAGCCGTCGGGACGAGACAGAGGGGGAGTATGCGTGGTAGTGTCCATCCGGAGGGCTCTCGCCATCTGGTAGTACGCTGTGTGGAAGGGGGAGATTTTCTCCATGAGATTGCTCCTTTCAAGGTCTCTATAATCTTTGAGGCGGTAACGGAGTTTGCGTTGAAGGCGGTGGGCCGCGAGTCTTTACTCGGGAGTGGGATAGCGTGCAGTTCTACGGAGGGCAGCTTTTTTGGCGTTGAGCAGGTTGCTAATATATCTAGGGGAAGACTAGTTTTTGAAACTGGGACAACCTTTTCATTCTCTTTAAGAGAGGATGTTATAAGAGTGTCTATTTTCCCCGTACTGTCAAGGACGTCGGAAGAAAGGGTTATGGGAGGGTCCGGTGAGTCTATAGCCGAGGCTAGAGACTTCTTGAAACCCTTCCAGTTGGTGTAGGTTTTGAAAGTGAGAGTTGGAGGTGGCTGATGGCCAAGAAGGAGAGATAAAGGACGGTGGTCGGATCCTAGATCATCGAGAGACTCGATTGCTCTAAGGTTAAGGACGACCCCTTTAACTAGAGCAAAGTCTATCACGTCAGGAGCGTAGTTAACGTTGTCGGAATAGTGGATGACAGCTAGGGGGCTGTAGACAGTCAGGTCGAGAGACTAAGTGATATTGAGCAGCACCCTGCCACTACTAGTAGTAGTGCGGCAGGTTCATTCGGTATGCTTGGAGTTAAAATCTCCAAACATAATGACTGAGTCGCCTAATGCAAGGATGGCTTCGAAATCACTTTTAACGGGGAAGGTTCCGCTAGGGATATAGCAAGAGGCTATAATGATAGACTGGTGTCCAGTCATGGCTAATCTAATGATAGTGGCTTCCATACTGGTAAGCGTCGGAGTGGGGATGTGGGAGCAATGAAGGGACTTTTTGTAATAAATTGCAGTACCGCCGCCCTTGCGGTCGGGTCTGTAATTACGAAGAAGTGAATAATTTTTAATAGAAAGACCTTTAGAGACCTTAGGGCTGAGGTGGGTCTCCTGAAGGCGGAGGAGGTCGGCTTCGCCTCCAGCACATTGGTGAAAACGAGGAGGAGTAAATCTCTCGCCTCGACTGCTGTGCATCTTGTGCACAGCCTCTATGGGGAAGCCTTGGGACTTAAGTTCTTCCAGAATGTCCTCGATTGCGAGTTCATAAGGAACTCCGCGGAGGACCGCCTTGATTTTCCTTTCTTCGGCGAGAGCGTATGTGGGATAGGACACACGTTCGGCCGTGAAAAACGGGTTATATTCCGGAAGTCTTCTATTGACGCCGGCATTATTTTGATGGCCTCGCCGACATTGGTGGCTTGGTCGTATTTGTAACCCTTATCGTAGAGGGTTTTGGACAGCTGTGTAAACTTCGCCTTGTCTCTGAGAAAGGCAGGGGGCGGGGCTTGGCTTTTAGCCAGTTTGGGAGCGCAGTGTGTTGCTGGCTTGGCGGTAGTGACTTTCGACTGAGAGGCGGCAGCATTAGGGGCTGCGGAAGTAGGGGCAACAATGGGGGCTGCGAAGGTTGAAGCAGTGGCGGAGGGTGCGCGGGCGGCGGCGGCGGCCGCCGGGGCGGTGGGAGTGCGGGTAGTCGCGGCGCGCTTAGGGCCGCGCTTGGATTTTACTAACGTGAATTGGGCTGTATCGGTGACCGTTCCTTCCGAGGAGCCGGTGGAGCTGTGGGCGGTCCTCTTCCGGGAGGAGGAGGTAACGGACGTGGTGTCCGAGTGCTCCATATCGGAGTCGGGGTACGCGGGTGAGTCGGTCTGCGGGGCAGCCGCTTGGGTCGCGAGGAAAGCCGCTATGGCGGGCGGGGGGGACGCATGCCTTAGGGGCAGGGGGAGCGAAGAAATCGGAGACTTGGCTGATGGTGTTCTCGTCGACATCGTAGGCTATGCCTTGGGATTGATAATACTGAGTGATCGTGGCTGAAATGGCGCGTGCAAGACTATATTTCATGTCTATGGTAGACATGTTGGTTTGGACAGGGGGGGGGGCTGACGTTTATTCAGGAAAGCACTTGCTCCGGGAAGAACGACGCCTTGTCCTCAAAAGGACAAGGAACGTTTTTCCAGAACACAAACTATGTGCAGGTAACAAATTATAACAATAAACAATAACAATAAAAGAAAAATAACAAAAAAAGCAGTAACAGAATAGTAACATAAGAACAATAAAGACACAGTGTGCTCAGACCTCCCCCGCCGAAGCGAGGGGGCAAGAACGGTGCAAAAAACAAGTGACTCACCTACGGCGACTGCTCGGCAGATGTGAGCCGGGGAGAGCGGACGCGCGGGCGAGAGGTTGCACTACCGCACGAGAATGGAGCGCGGACTGTATGCACTACCGCTCGCGGGCGGTGCGCAAACGGAACAGAGCGTCGAGTCTAGTATCTAGATGTTAGTGCTGTTAGGCTATGCGACTCTTACAGCTTCATCTGTCTCAGGTCTCGCAGCCTGCAAGGCCGCGAGCTAATTAAAAAAGGGAAAGGCAATGAGGTGAGGATGATGATAAAATGGTTTATGATTTGATATTGTTACCAATCATCATTTCGCCTTTTTAGGCGTTTTCTTTGAGCTATCTAACCGCAGTCCAAGGGGGGGGGAGCGTGGACCCCTGTCTCTGACTGCTCAGCTCGTGTCGGTCGATGGTCTGGGCGGTGAGAACCGTTCAGGAACGCGGGTGTACGGTGTGTACGCGGTGTGAGCTGGAACGCGTCGTGCCCGTCTGAGGATGCGACGCGTCCTATTCGTTGTCCTAGTAGTGTTTGTACCATTTAGTGTGGGTGTAGTGTCGTTGTGTGATGTGCCTGCGACGTTTGGGTCAACTGGATCGAGCGGTTGAGGTGGTTCTATTAGTACATTTCGCGGTCTACGGAGATAGGGCGCGACGTTTGTTATCGGAACGTAGTTGGCTGCGTTTGTCACTGGCGGGTTAGGGTGGGTTTCTACTCTATCGAAGTAGACACTGGGACATCTCCTTAAAATATTCAGAGATAGATCGTAATTCACAATCATTGTGTAAATCAGAGTTCCGTTGATACCACCGTGCACCGGTGGCTTTTCAGATGAAAAAGTTTTGTACTCTTTGGAGTTTTAAAATATGGGTCTTATATGTGTGGGCGAAAGCTACACTTGCATAGGACATAACTGGTCTAATGCAGGTTTTGTACAGCCGGAGTTTGTGTCTTAGCAACAGCTTACTCTTGCTATTAACGAGCGGGTGTAGACGGCCAATTACTGACTTGGCTCTGTTGCATACTACACTTATGTGCGTCGCGAAACTCATGCTGGAGTCGAACGTGACGCCTAGGTATTTAGCCGATTTTTCCCAAGGGATTGGGCAGTCGTATAAAGAAATCGTTTTTGGTTTAGAACCTGCTGTTGAATTCCGTTGAAAGTATACTGCTACATTTTTTTCGGGATTCACCTCAATTCTCCATAGGCGCTCCATTCACCCAGGCAATTGGTCGCTTTCCCGCTGGTGGCAGCTCAGACCAACGTTCTACTTCCGTTTCTAACTGAGCGGGATCTATTGGTGCAGTGGATGGCGTGCACTGGTACTCTAGACTGTCGGCTAGGCATTCGGCTTTTTCGAGATCGTCTAGGGCGAGATCGGGGTGGTCCAGCCTCACGAGAGGCGGCATCGGTGGGGATTTGTCGGCTTTAAAAGCTCTCGTTAGTTTCCAGAAGGCGTCTTGAGATGGTTCGATACCTTCTAAGAGGTTATCCCAGCTATCGTTTCTAAACTCGGCTACTCGTTGTTTAATCTCGTTTTGTAGAGAACGTACTCGAAGTTTATTGGCTTCCGTACGATAGCGGTCATATGTTTTAAGCGCGGAATTCTTCGCGCTAATCAGCCGTCGAAAATCCGTCGGGAGTTTCGTGTAGTGATCGCTCGACACACGAACCTTACGGGAGCATTCTTCGACTGCTGATGTGAGGTGAGTCGAAAGGGCGCTAATCGCCCTATCGGCCTCCTCTAGCGAGTCTATCTTGTCAGGAATGGTGTCCAAATGCTAGGAGTTCGTAGACTTTAGTTTGACCTCAAGTTTACGCCAGGCGACAATGGTTTTGGTCTGAAGGACCGGCCCAGTTGTAAAACTACCGGCCTGTGGTCTGAGACTAGTTCGATAATAACCTCTATCGAATTAATAGTAAGTCGGATGTCTTTTAGCAGTGCTATATCAAGGACATCCGGATATTGGTTATCTGCAAAGGGATAACGTGTTGGACTCTCGGGAGCGATAACGTCGAAGTTAAGTCTCTCCGTGAGGTCTCCCGCGATTAATACACTAGGGCCTAGGTTTAATAGAGCCGATATGTCGAATTACTAAAATCAAATTTTAATTACTTTGACACTCTTTTAATTCAGACCAGAGTTTTTACTCATTTGAACATTTTTGTTTTTTTTTTAATGCTTATTATTATGAAATAAAAAAAAACAAAGATTTAAAAAAATATTAAAATTAAGTAATAAAATCAACAAAAAAAGAAACAGTTTATAAAAAAACTATTAATTAATACATTTGTGACAAATGTGAAGTTTGTGTTCGCCACACAAGGATTTGTTGCACTTGGTACAACAACTCTTTGTCACTCTTCGCTTTGCGGAGGGGCAAATTGCCCAAATTTTTCTTTTTGGCGATAGGAAGACTAACTGCATCTTCTCTTTGATCAGTCTCATGTATAGAAGTAGAACTACTGGTTCCTAACACATTCAAAATCGCTTTTATTGAGTCCCGCAGCCCCATTTGAAGTATCGGAATTTGTAATCTTTTTTACATGTGTGGCTCTATTAATTTCTGATGCAGAGTTTTCAAGTACTTACGCCTCGATAAAAGTTTTTTATTAGCCTCTAAAGTGTTGGTTACATATATAACATAACTATTTATAAATGCAATGTTTAGCATTCCGTAAAAATTAAAAGGCCAACGTCGAGTTTTCGGCTGCATGAAGCGAGAGAACACATAATATGATCCAAGATGTCTACTCCACCCTTAGTTTGATTGTAAAACTCAACCATCGTGGGCTTTTTGGTCAACTCATCAATTGTCCCTTCCTCATCACAAGTCGACCATAGGAATATTGTCTT